ATTCTAAATTATTAGATCAGGAATATGAATCATGCTATTTGTATAATTTTATTTTTTTTTTAACAGTTTTGATTGACAATTTATAATTGATAACATTAATTTCATCCGTTTTAAAAATTATTTTTTTAAAACAATAATCCAAATTTTGACAACATTAATATTGTCAAACGTAATTGTCAACAACAGTTGTACAAATATGTTTATTCTAAGAAAATAAAATATAAACCAATGTTAGTTCTTTTTATGCCAGTGTCTCGAGTTGAAGAACAAAATGGGCCATACAATGGATTTTGTATTAAGTTCGAGACAATGTCGTACTAAAGAAAAACTAAAGGTGGAACGGTCGGTATAAGAATCCTGAACTTGAATACATTTTTTTCTCAATTCTTTGTAGCTAAGGAACTGAATTGTCGTATTCGTGCCCCATTTTACTTTCAATTTTTATACCAAAAGTTGTGTACCAAAATTCCTCTTTTTTTTGCATTGAAAAAGCCTTTGTTTGTAATATTCCAAATGAAATAATTCAACTTTCTTTCTGTAGGAAGTGCCACATTGCCAGTTTTCGACCTACCCTTGCTATAAACGTATAGGCGGTATAGCGTAGACATAGTTCTAAATTGTTGAAAATATGATTTTTTTCAATAAGTTGAATTTTTACGGTGTTGGGTAATATTAGTAAAGAAAACAAAGTTAAAATCGTTTGGTATTGATTAAAATTAAAATTTAATCTAAGTCCAAATAAATAATTACCTTTAATCACACATTTCATGAGACCTACAATTTTTCATTCATATATTTTATCAATTTCTATCAAAATATACTGAAAATTTGATTTTAATCTCCATCACACGGTGACTTAATTTATTGTCAAATTTTGCCTAATAATGTGTAGCAAACATGCCCCTAACTAAGGATGAAAATCACCTAACTCAGGCTTATGCCCCAAGAGGCACAACCTTTTTTTTTATTTTTGATAAATTAAAAAAATAATAAAAAAAAACATATAGGATCCGTTTCTTGACCTTATAGCTAATGTTGACCTAAGCAATAAATTAACCCGATGGCCTTTAATTTAATTTAATTTACTTCTCAGTCCTTGTTTGATCTTCGTTACTTTTAAAATATATATTTCTCTTTTATTTTCAATCACACATTTTTCAATAGAATAATATTACCCGTAAATTTAAAAAAAAAAAAAAAACTCCTTTTTTTTACCACACATTCTCTATTCCAAAATACATTTTTAACCAAATAATTGATTTCACTCTCATTTTCAACCACGTTAACACAATAAAATATTCTACACATAAACTCAAAATTCTTTCATACATCCTTCAAAACATAATTTTTTTCAAATTAAAGGCCACCAAATAAGGGCTTTAGAGTAGACAATTTCTTGAGCCCATTTAACTCAAAAAAAGGATTTTGTACCTTCAAGGTTTCAATTGTCTAGTTTTCAAAACCTTGAAAATTGGGTAATTGTGAAAATTATTAATTAATTATAATAATTTCCTTTTAAAAAAGAATTTATAATATATTTAATTTTAGGCTTTTGGTATATGAAATTTTTATTTATTGATGATAGTATAATAATTAAAGATAAGAAAACACATTTTTTACAAGGAGAGTTGGCCATGCTATTTTATCACTGCCTCTAGACCATTTAGAACACTGTCAAATTATTAAATAGGCAATTTCCGATAGAAAATTGAATTATAATTAAGTTCTGAAAATGTCACAGGTCCTAGTACATCATTCTATCCAGAAAATAGGCAATTTCCTACAGCTAAATTTTCAATTTTGTCAACTGTATCTCCAAACCCCTTCCTCACTAAAAAAAGGGGTACTAAATGCATTCACAGTATCTTCACAGTTGCAATTCCACTGCATTGCATCTCATTCACCTCTCCTCAGAGTTGAATCTGTTCCATGCTGCCTGAGGTTGAAGAATTTATGAAATAAGACGTACAACGTAGCATAAGAATCGCCAAAAGTAATATGTATTTATGCCATTTCAACCAAAAAAAGCGTGGGAGGACTTCACTTGTAATGCAACATTTTAAATTTCAAGTGGCAGCTAAGTGGACTTCAAAGATCTCTATAAGGCTATCTACTAGGAGCTCTAGTCATTACTAACAAAACAAAAGGCTTTCTTATGATGATGGCAAGGCATTAAACTCTGAAACGCGACATATTGATGTCCATAGTACCCCAAAACAGAAACCGATGTTATATTTCAAGAGAAAATAAAGCATACCTTAAGAAGATCGAAAACCTTTTCACATATGTATTTTTGTTGAATGCTAGCTCCTTTTTGCTGTAATTTGTCTGGATGTACATAAAGGGTTGCCTTTCTGTAAGCTTTCTTCACAGCAGGAGCTGTTACGATCTCTGTTAGGGAAATTGGTTGCCAACCACTCTCTGGGCCAAGGACCTGCAGATGACAAGAAGTTAATGCTGAATATGGGTGGCTAATCTAATTCAGAATAGTTAGTTTTCATATTTATCACTTTTAGTTTCAGACAAAATACTCCTTAACGACAAAAAAACTGAGGTAGTGAAATAGATGGGGAGCCAATGCATACATATTGCAGAGTCGAAAGCAGTGCACGCAAGTTCCCCTCCTTTCCAGTCGCCCATCTCTTAATGTCAGCATCAAGAGATTCCGCTAATCTCTGCATTTAAAAATGAATAATTAGTTGAAAAGACATACAGAGCACCAGGAATGATAACTAAAAATTTGATGGAAGAAATATTACATTTCTCTCAGCTTGCTCTTTCTGAGCAAGAAGATCACGCATATTCTTCTCTTCAAGTGCCTTTGCCTGTTGAACAGAAAAAGATAATTAATCTGGTTAAGTCTAGCAATCTAAAAATCAAAAAGTTGCATAAACAACTGTAAGGTATGTGTACCGCTCGCTCCATTATCCTCTGATGCCTCTCTAATCTTGCTTTACGCCTCTGGGCGGATTCACTATTATTTCCATCAAATTTCTCCAGGTCCTGTGGGAAATTCAATCTATTACTCTTCTAGCGCGCGATTAAATGTTGTAGCCTGAGCAATAAACAAATAAACTGATACTCACCGAGGAAGAATAGCTGTGTTTTAATGCATTATTTCTGGAGACACCAGAAAATTTTTCATCCTGTGTCCTTGCCTCGTTGGGATTTTTCTGTGAGAATGCTTTCTCTAGAGCACGTTCACGAGCCTCTGCTGTAGCTCTCTCTACTGCAGCACGTTCTGTTCTGAGCTTGGATTCACTGGTGGCTTTATCGGCAGATTGTTTAGTCGATGCAGAGGCTTTCTCAACCTTCTCCCGTGCCTCTGCCATAGCTCTTTGTCGAGCTTCAGCTGCTGCTCTCTCCACGGCAGCCCTTTCTGCCCTTTCTCGAGCTTCAGCAAATGCCCTTTCACGAGCTTCTCGAATTGCTCTCTCGACAGCTATTCTTTCTTTTTCCCGCTCCCTTTCCCTCTTAATAGTTTCAATTCTTCGCTGGCGATCTTTCTTCTCAACTTCATAAACTTTTTCTTTGGCATCTCCGTCTTCCATGGTAGAGAATTTGTTCTCTGTATTGTTCTCATTGTTTTGGCCTCTTTTTATCCCACTTTCAGTTTCCATGGATTCCTCATTCTGTTTGGCCTCACTAGGTACAGAAGATACCCCTTCATTTTGTTCCTCAACGTATTTCGCCTCATTGCAAGTCATTTCAAGATCATCTGTATCTTCTTCCTTACTTGAGGCCTCATCCTTCACATTTTTTGCAAATGCTAGGGTTTCATGATCTGA